AATGACTGCTTAAAGGTTTCCTGGTCTTTGGTGTTTCCCCTTTGGGTGTTTGCTTAGATGAGGCTTAGAGAGACTGTCTTGACCCCACTACTGAAAATCGCAGTGCCCTCCTCACTTTTATCCCTGTCTTGTATTTCTCCTTAGGATTTATCACCATCTGACGCACTATGCAGTTTGCTTATCTATCTCAGTTAACGTCTGTCTTCCCTGCCTTCAAGCCAGCACTCTGAGGAAAGGGGTTTGCTGTTAAAGTCCCAGTACCTGGAGCAGACCTGGTACAGAGTAGGCATTCCGTAACTATTTCTTGAAAGAATGAACGCCTCTTCCTCATGAGGGTGTTTGCCTTTTCTGTTGTTGTTGTTGATTGAAGAGGTCTTTGTGTGTTAGGAATATTAACCTTTGATCATAAGGGATGTAAATGTCTGCCCAAATGCTGTTTGCCTCTGCCTTGCAGTGTACCATACCTGTGTTTGTGGAATTGATTCAACTAACGAAGACCCAAGAGTGAGAGAGTAGAACTCCGTAGGACTTCCTTGGCTGTAATCGACACCGAAGTAGATTATTGAGCTTTTCTGCTGCGTAGCTGGATGGGCTCAAAGGGCCAACCTTAGTTCAGAGGATGAGCACAAACCATGGGTGTGGTCAGAGACCTTACTCTGTGAGACAGAGATTTACAATTTTAGGGAGTTCTATATCAGTCTTATCTTTTAGGGCATCTAAGCTTTGCATCTTCTTTGGAAGCAGCTTTCCTTCTCCAAGGTTATAAACATTTTTCTATATCTTTTTCTTTGATAGCTTTCATCTAGAATTTATTTTGGGGTCAGGTTAGGTGAATACAATTTTAATCCGCCAAATAGTCCCTAGTCCCAAATACCAGCTAGTCAGTCTTTTTCTGCCCTGTGATGGATGGCTTATCTCATCATGATTTCGTAGCTCCCACCAAATGATTGGATGGGTCTATGCAAAGAAGGTGCTTGTGGGCCACCCAAGGGGATTGAGCCTCTTGTCATTGTTGTTTTAATTTTTTAACTTTTTATTGTGAATTGGGTGAAGGCTAACATGTTAGATCACAGTTTTACATTCAACAAATCATACGCATTCTGAGTGCAACACCGTCGTTGCTGTGCCCCACTTATTCCACTGCCTCCCTGGGTTACAGGTTAGATCACAGTTTTACATTCAACAAATCATACGCATTCTGAGTGCAACACCGTCGTCGCTGTGCCCCACTTATTCCACTGCCTCCCTGGGTTTCCTCTTTCCATCTCTCCCTGTTTTCCAACCTTCTGAACTTTGTCTTTGGGGAAATGCTGTCCTTTTGATCTCCAATGGTTGATTTTTCTGAAGCCGAAGTGAGTTCAGTTTGAGACCTGGAGGGTCAGAACCATTGTCTTAGGGATTCCACCAGTCTCTCTCTGGTCTCTTTGATTATTTTGGGTCTGTTCTAAAATTTTCTCCCATTCTATCTAAGACCTTCTAATGTGGTCTTTCTCAGAGCAGTTCACAGAGGTGAGGGGTGGGAGGTGTGGGAACATCTAGCTCTTCTGTCTGGCAACTTGTTAATAATGCAAATAAGATGAATGGAACTCTCGTTGGGGTTGGGACCATGCAAATAAAGTGTGTAGAACCCTAAGGAGGAGATTGGTCAGTTTGAAGGACAGCCAATTTCAGAGAAGAAGGGGAAACTTGACTGTCGTTAAGAAGAGATAAGAGCAGACAGAGCTTGTCCTTTGCATTCAAGGTCCTAGTGCTGGGAACCTCCTAGACCCAGGAGACAGACCTAGCTGTAACCCCAGAGATACCAAGGGACCTTGAGTAGCAGCAGCAGGGCTAGGAGACTGGCAGAAGATAGTGAATGAGCTTCCTAACTCACAGCTATAGAGCAGAGCGTTTTCAGGCATGAGACTTGCCAGTGGAGTGGGGGTGCCTCCAGGCACTTGAGGATATACTAGCCTTCCTGATCCATGGAGCTAGAGGGCTTTGAGCCTTTAGGCTGAAGCTGACTGGCATGTCCCTAGGCACTTATCAGAGGAGCTGACGAGGCCAGGCTGACGGGCTGAAGGATTGAGGGCCTTTATAAACTAAACTCCCTGTCAGAGTCCGTTCTAACTCACAGCAGCCCTGTAAGACAGACTAGAGCTGCCCTTGTGGGTTCCCGAGGTTGTAACTCTTTGCAGTCTGGGCTGGTTGTTTGCGGCTAGCAGCCCACAGGTAACCCACCACTCCATCACGGCCTGAGAACAGTATAAGAAGAAGCTGTCCTATCTGAAGAACGGTATTTTGACTAGTCCCTAATCCTGAATGGTAACCTGTTACTTCTTCCACAAAGCTTATAATTGTGAGCATTGTCTGGGAGTTCCTTGTGGCTATCACAGGGAATTGTCTAATGCAGTGGAGCATGCTTGGGGAGGGATGGCTCATCCAGAACTGGGAAGAAGGCTGGAGGCAGGAGCCAAGTCTGGCCTGTATCACACAGGCATTTACCCTGGGCGGTTGGTCTTGATTCTCCTTCCGCTTCCTCCAGGATCTTAGAGGAGGTCCACCATCCTTCCAGTTTTACATCTTCTTAATCCATCATTTGTGTTGTCCGTTTTCCTACCTAACGTTTCTTTCTTTAAAAAAAATCATTTTACTGGGGGCTCATACAGCTCTTATCACAATCCATCCATCCATCCATCCATCCATCCATCCATCCA